CCTTCTTGATCTCTTTTGATTGATTTTAGTTTGAAATCTATTTTGTTGGATATCAGGATGGCTACCCCCGCTTGTTTCTTAAGACCATTTGATTGAAAAGTCTTTTCCCAACCTTTTATTCTTAGGTAGTGTCTGTCTTTGAATTTGAGATGTGTTTCTTGTATGCAGCAGAAAGATGGGTCCTGCTTTCGTATCCATTCTTTAAGCCCGTGTCTTTTTATAGGTGAATTAAACCCATTGATATTATGGGATATTCATGACCAGTGATTGTTCATTCCTGTTATTTTTTGGTGTTAGTGTGTGTGTGTACTTCTCTTTTTGGGGTTTACTGCTGTGGCTTTATCTATTGCCTGTGTTTTCGAGAGTGTATCTGACTTCCTTAGGTTGGAATTTTCCTTCTAGTGCTTTCTGTATGGCTGGGTTTGTGGATAAATATTGTTTAAATCTGGCTTTTCTTGGAATATCTTGTTCACTCCAACTATGATGATTGAACATTTTGCTGTGTATATTAGTCTAGGCTGGCATCCATTGTCTCTTCGTGTCTGTGTTACATCTGTCCAGGTCTTTCTGGCTTTCAAAGTCTCCATTCAGAAATAGGGTGTTATTCTGATGGGTTTGCCTTTATAAGTCACTTGGCCTTTTTCCTTTGCCTCTCTTAATATTCTTTCTTTATTCTGTACGTTTAGTAGTTTAATAATTAATGTGGCAAGGGGAATATTTTTGGGAGGGTTCTAGTCTTTTTGATGTTCTATTGGCTTCTTGTATCTTCATAAGCATTTCATTCTTTAAGTTGAGAAAGTTTTATTGTATGATCTTGTTGAATATATTTTCTGTACCTTTGAGTTGGTATTCTTCTGCTTCTTCTATCCCTATTATTCTTAGCTTTAGTCTTTTCATGGTGTCCCAAATTTCTTGGACATTTTGGGTCATGACTTCACTGGCTTTAATGTTTTCTTTGACTGATGAATTTATTTCTTCTACCATATCTTCAACCCCAGAGATCCTCCCTTTCATCTCTTGCATTCTGTTGGTTATACTTGCATCTGAAGTTCCTTTTCATTTACTCAGAATTTCTATTTCCAGCATTCCCTCTCTTTGTGTCTTCATTTTCTCTATTTCCCTTTTCAGGTCTTAGACTGTTTCCTTCATCTGTTTCATTACTTTTTCATGATTTTCTTTCAGGGCTTTATTGGTTTCTTCTGCTTTATTTTTCCTTTCCTCTAGTTTTTTTTTATAGCATTCTTCCCATTTTTTGTTTGTCTTTTCCTTAATTTCATTTGTGAATCCTTCTATATAAGCCTCTACTCTCTTCATGATGTTATTCATAAGGCTGGTTTCTTCTGCTTCTTCCATTTTTTGATGTTCAGCTCTAGCTGTTGGAGGAGGGCTAGGTTCTGGTGATGGTGTATTGCTCTTCATTTTGTTGTATGTACTTCTGCCTTGACATCTGCCCATCTCCTTGTGGATTCCTTCTTGGTCTTATCAGTGCACTTGTTCCAGACAGAGCTGACAGACTCAGGAAGCCTCTCCCTCTTGTCTAGATGGGAGGTCTGGGGTGGGATGGGAGCTCTTGTCCAGATGAGAGGTACAGGGCAGGATAGGAGCTGGGGGCTGGTCTCTAAGTGTGGTGGTATTGTGTTCCCCAAAATATTGTGTACTCTAATAAATTTATCTGGGGTCAGAGAACAGACAGCCACTAGATACAAAGGCTAGAAAATGGTGCCACTCACACCTTTAATCCTAGCATTCCAGAGATAGAAATCCCTCTGGGTCTCTGTGAGTTCAAGGGCACACTGGAAATAGCCAAGCATAGTGACACGCCTTTAATCCCAGAAAGCCAGCCTTTAATCCCAGGGAGTGGTGGTAGAAAGCAGGAAGATATATAAGGCGTGAGGACCAGAAACTAGAAGATTTTGGCTGGTTAAGCATTCAGGCTTTTGAGCAGTAATTCAGCTGAGACCCATTCCGGATGAGGACTCAGAGGCCTCCAGTCTGAGCAGACAAGACCAGCTGAGGATCCGGCGAGGTGAGATAGCTGTGGCTTGTTCTGTCTCTCTGATCTACCAGCATGGACCCCAATAACTGACCTTGGGTTTGATTTTATTAATAAGAACTTTTAAGATTCCTGCTACATCTAAGTTTCAGGAAGTGGCTGGGGTCTCAGGCAGATGGGCGTGGGGGCAGGGCATTGAGATTGCAGAGTCTGCAGGGGGTCTTGGAGAAGGGGAATCTTCCTGGTGGGGGTGGAGGGGATACTACCAGATGGCCAGAACCTGGGGCCAAGTTGGGCAGGTTGTCCCCAGAATGGCTGGTACCCAGGGATGGGATCTAGGCTGAGCCCAGGCTCTTGTCCAGATGGGAGGTCTGGCTGGATCATTTTCAAACAATACACACCTGTCATGAGACAGGTAACAGTTCTATTTTCCTCCATGTATAGAGATTCCTTAATTTTGTCTAGTAATAAATTATAAATTTGGGATTTTTTACTACAAAAAATATACAATGCTAGATAATAATGGGCTAATAGTATAAGAATATAAGAAAAAGTCTGGTTTGCTCTTAATTTTTATAATTAACCTATATTTTATTTGAGATACAGATATGTCTTCTTTTCTGCATCTGTGTTGTCAGTTACAAGTCTGATCACTAATCAAATATGAATATACAAATATTTAATTGAGCAAAACTTCTCTCACTTTTTTTAGGCAGAGTAATGCCACCTGTAGCAGTGATTTTCAATTCACTGTGATTCATGGAAGAAATGATTGCTGCATTCATGATAGATACAATATAGTGTGTAAAATTACAAATTAATTATTTGATATAAATCTTTACCCTAAAACCAAACAAGTTAAAGTAGCAACTGAGATACTAACTATGAATTGGAAGACTGGGTTGCACATAGTGCATGCCACTTGTGCTTAACGTTTTCCTACACAACTTTATCCTTAGCAAGCAGGATCTGAGAGCACAGTAGCAGGTGAGGTGGCCATGGTAGTTATATTCTTTGCATAGACTGTGGATGGAATCCTAGGAAATTCATCTCTCCTCTACCATTTTCTCTTTTTTCACCTCACTGGGTGCAGGTTAAGGTCCATAGACTGGATCTGGCAGCACTTGGTTGCAGCCAACTTGTTAACTCCCCTGTGTAGAGGAGTGCCACAGACAATGGCTGTTTGTGACTGGAAAGACTTCCTTGATGATTTTGCATGCAAACTGCTCTTCTATTTTCACAGAATACAGAGGGGTGTGTGCCTCAGTAGCAACAGTTTGCTGAGTGTCTGCCAGGCCATTGCCATCAGCCCTAAGGGCAAGAGATGGACAAAGCTTAACATCAAGTCTTACAATTATATTGCTTAAAGTATGGGCCTGAGTTGAATCCTGTCCCTCATTGTAAACATACGTTTTCCTATGAACATGATTGTAAGATGGAGATATAGAAATATGATGAATATAAAAGGGTTTGGGTACTGTTCTTCTCTTTGTCATAATAAGACCTTTGACAACCTCTATGCAGTATTATTCTCAAGTACCTATGTCTTGTTCAGTAATGTGAGGTTATGGCCCAGTGTTTCCACAGTTTTCATCCTCTACAGACAAAGGTAAGAGAATGAGCACATTCATGGGAACAACTTCTCCTTCAGATCCTTGCCTGAGTCCAGAGCCACAAAGACCATTCTGCTATTGGTAAGCACTTTTGTCTACTCTTCTACACTTTCCTGCTTCTTGCAAGCTAATTTAATACTTTGATATAATCTACCATTTCTCATGCTCAACAGGACTGCACTATCTTCTGACTGTTTTCCAGCTGTCAGTCTCTTTCTTCAACTGAACAGTGAACCCCATGAAAATCTACTCTCTTCTGCTTGTGCAAAGAATAGAAATAAGTAATCATATGGACAAAAAGAAAATTATGTATTTTTTATTAATATACAGTAGTGTCTTCAGTCACC